AAGGAAGGAAGGAAGGAAGGAAGGAAGGAAGGAAGGAAGGAAGGAAGGAAGGAAGGATCAATCCCACTGGGAGAAAACTCAGAACGGAAAATAGCAGTAGTTCCAATACTAATTGACAAATAATTTCCTGCCTATGATTCTGTCTGCCTCTTCTTGCTGATGGCTATCATGCTGCAGTAGAATGGATCACTGGTTTGGACAAAAAGAGATCCCAGAGAAAAAGGCATTGTTATTGCTCTCATCATGTGCTATCTGAGCAAGCTACTCATTTTTTCTAATAAAAATTGTGATAACAGTCCTAGGACCCTAGCAGAATCCTGCTAGAATAATGGATGTGAAGTTGCAGTATCCTTTGATGATTTGGGTGAAACCTATTTTCCACACGGGCAACATGAATCATTCAGAAGAATGGCAGAAGTTCTGATTCCACTTAACATGAACTGATATTAAAACAAACAAACAAGAAGACATGATTGGCGATTTGAAAGGAGAATGTACACAAATTTGCAGCTACAGCTTATCTGCTAAAGAATTGTTCCTGCAATATATTAACATTAGCTATACAAAATATCATAAAAACCTGCTCTTCCTGCTGTTTAGTTGTCTTAGGTGGCTCTTGAACAAAAGATGGACATGGAGAAACTCCAAAGAATGGTATTTCCAACACTGCTGGTGCTGCAGGTTTGGGCCCAGGTACATATTTCATATCTTTAGTCACAATCATCCTTTCAGACACTGAGGAAATAAAGCAAATTGTCACATCCATTGAGACTTCACATTTCTTCTCTATCATTTAAATCAGATGGCGAATCAATGAAACTTATGGCTAAAAAGCAAGGTTTGCCAGATTAAACTGAGACTGAATGTCCCTTAAGCAAAGTAAATTGTTAACATTTGTTTGATTCATTTCTCTCTTTCTCTGCTTGCAATAGTGACCACTTTTTTGAAATTCTAGTGTATTTATTAGTCAATACTAATTTATCTGGAGATGTACTATGCAGCCCATAGATTAACTACTTCTAGAGTTACATGTAAAGACAGGTAGTATATAGCATTTCTGCCCTGTATCTCTTAAAATGGCAGCTGTTTCAGTGTCCAGCTTAGATATTTGCCTTCCTACTGCACTATGTGAAAAGAGATGAGGTCATGACACATATGAATAATGCTCAGTTTCTGATTTGGGGGGTGATGCACTAATTTACACAATTTCAGCCATTTATTTTGACTAAACTTGGGGTTGCTCCTTAATATGCAGAAACTGTATTTTGCTTTTGGTAGCCCTGTTTGGGGACGCGGTGGCGCAGCGGCTTAATGGCGCTGAAAGTTGCTGGCCAGAAATGGTCGACGCTTCAGTGGTTCGAGTC